TGTGTGGGAAAGAGAATGTTTATAAAGGTTTCAACATCTCTGTGTTTCCCATTAGTGTCTCTTGGATCATGGAAGAGATGTGAACGTCAGAGACCAAAAGTTCTTAGGCTACTTTAACTCCATGCGAGTCTGTATTCCACGTAGAGTTCAGTGCCTTTCTCCTATTCCTGTACTTGCTCATGGTCTATTATAAAGTTTACTAGTGATTGATCAACACTTCTGTTCTGGCATCACAAATGGACATGGCCTATTCTGCTTAATGTTTGTGTAAACAGGCATTGTCAGAATGGGTAATGAACGCAGTAAATACTAAAGCTGCAGTAAACAAAAGCTCCACAGCTACAGTGAATCAGCTTAGTAAGAAAGAGTTACAAGTCTCGTGAGTAAACAGCTAGAAAATATTTCCACAGGAAGAGCTTCATAATCTGGTTTGGATTGCTTCTCTGAAGAAGCAGTTTCAGGCCATAGTTCTTTCTAAAGAGTATCTAATGATCCACATATTACATTAATATGTATCACAGTTTTGTTATTGCAACTTAGAGATCTGAACTTAAAATCTAATGAAGATATTATTTTATTTTATAGATTCCTGGACGCCATATGACAATAGCAGCAGAGATTCAAACAATTCATTACTTGCGATAACACTTTTACTGTTACTAATAAAAGGACAAATAAATTGAGTTTTAAAATGCACAAATTCCAAAAGAAAATGGAAATTAAATATCTAATATAAAACTTAATAAAAGCATCTGGGTTAATATCACTCTGGCAGTTTAGCTCAGACACAAACATATTGCTGTTTTTCTCTACAATTGTAAGTAGAAAACATTTAAGATTATATAAATGCGTTGGCAAGAAGAGAGTTAATCCTTTGAGAACAAAAGTTTCATCCATAATAATGTTTTGTTTAAACTTCAAGTTGTGTATACCCAAAATTGGACTTACACTCACAAATACAATTCTACATGTAAACAGCAAATTGTATAAACAATTCACTCTTTATTAGCCAAACTGACCATTTTATAGAAACAAGCCAAGGTATATATACATATACATGTATGTTTGTGTTTGCATATGCACATGTGCATGAAAGTGTTCCCAGAATTGCTACTGGAAGCTTGTCCCTTGATGTACCCTAAATCTGTATTTGCTCTTTTGAAACCATGGAATTTATCTTTTTTTTTCAATACAGTGCATTATAGAATCCAAGCACAAAAAAAAAAGGAAACTGCTCTCACAGTGCTCCACAAAAGTTTTCATGTCCTCAGCTTCTGAAACATTTAAGATTATTAACTGGCTGGCAGGCTCCCGAGGAATTTTAAAGCATCTGTGGCTGTGCTACTTATTTTAAGCTCTGTCTTCCAATGTTATGAAATCAGCAAACTCTCTTGACTTTCTTAGTAATTCCATTTCATGTGGTTCTGGCTTTCAGGCAGATTGAAGAATGACATAATCGTCTTTTCCCACCCACAGGTTTTGGACTGTTGCCGTTGGTTACACCCTTCCGAGTAATGTGCAACATGAATCTTTGTCTGATCCCATATGCCCATAAATGGAAGCCAGCCCAGCAAAGATGACCAAAACACAGTTTCTTGGCTTTCTGTCGAGCAGCACCATAGGTAGAATAAGGCTGCTTTGGTTTTTTTCCTATCAGTTAATATTACTTAGACTACAATGCAGGAATGTCAGGCCAATGCCATGCTGTTTTAAAAGGAAGTGGACTGATTTCCCAATAAACTTTACTCCTGTTACTGAAGGGAGAGCAGACATCTTGAATGTAGTACCAGTGAATAAACAAGCTCTGCAAAAGTGCTTCTTTTGTGTTTTTTCCTGGAGCACTTATGCAAATGCACTCAAAAAAGTACAGAATTCTTCATTTTTGTAAAAAACCCTAGAACTTGGCCAGTTCTTATAAGCACTCATAGGCACTATTGCAATCATACTTTGCATTATTAACAATACTGGATTCAAGTACCAAGCCTACAGCAACAGGATAAACATTGTGGAGAAAAGGCACTTTCCAGAGTTTGTTATCAACATTAGAGAATGACAAGCGATTTACAGTCCATCCCAGTGATTAGTCTCACAAAGCCTCTCCTGACTTCCCTGAAGACTATGAGAGTGTTTCTATGTGTAAGAAATATGGCATGTTAACACAGCATAGGGAGCAAGGCCGCCAGCTATGCATAGTGCAACGCTAAGGCACCGCTGTAAGTTGAAAGTAGGATCCAGCATGCCCTGCCCGAGACCCAAATTCAGAATTTCAGAGAAAGAAGTATTCCTTTGCCTTTAAAAAGTGTAATGTGTGTGGCTATCGCACAGCTCAGTTTCCCTTAGCCATTCACTTTGGACTCACCGGTCCCTGCAGCAGTTCTGCGAAGACAGCGTCTCTATGTGCCCGTCTGGTCCATACTGGACAGCACAGGGGGGATAGACATATCCTTCCCCTTGTACTTTCTATGTAAGTCTAAGTATTGGTTCACCCTGCAGATTAGCTCTAATGACAATTTGATCTTATGCTTCTGACACCAAAAACATCAAGTAAAATAGACCCTTCATTTTCTAAGTACATTCATTTGCACTATTTGTCTCCAGAAGATCTGCTCTTTACAGTTATGCTTTTCATGCTTGGTCAAATTTTTAAGTGCTCCACAGCATCATGGCTACTTGGACATCTTAAGCTTAGGACTACCGAGACGCATTGCTCCAGGTCAGCTTCAGGGCAACTACTTACTAGTTGGCAATTATGTTGCTGCTTTAAGAGCTGGCACTGAACTGCCAGGCAAATAAAAAAGCATGTATCATGCTCAAGGAAGCACTAGTCCATGTCCAAAAGAAATGGAGAAGAATGCATCAAGTTATCACCATAAAAATAAATGACTTAATCTGTAAAGATAAAAAAAAATCCTGACTTCTGATTTCCTTGCCTTCTTGGGCAATGAGTCAGTTCTGGAAAAAACAATAACTGGGCAACGTGAAGCAATGACTTAGCATCAGGATGTGTGGTCTAAGGATAGAAGGAGAAGCTAGAGGACAGAGTTCCCATAGGACTTTTTTTCATGATCAGGTACCCTCCTGTATCTCCACTTGGCCCTCTTCTAAGTTCAGTGCAGCTGAGTGTCATGCCTTCTCTCACTCCCAGCAGCGAGATACCATTTGAACAGGTATCTAGCACAAATAAAACTGTGAGACAGACTAGAAAATGAGACAAATTGATTGTGGTAGTCACCAAAGGGTGGCATTTACTGCAACAGGAATTCCACGTGAAATGGATCCAGAGGATTATTTCTTTCTCTAGGCTCTGTTCACAGTGTAAACTACAGTGATATTTTTGTTTCTGTGATAGAAATTACCTGGCTAATAATTTAAAATATTTTAAGAAAGGGATAATATGAAAATCCTATAAAATTCTATTTTAGTGCTATTAGAAACTCCAAGGCACTCTAAAACACATCCTCTTAAGGCAATAGTTATGTTCTAGGAAGTTTTTACAAATTTATCTGCCCTCTGCTGACAGAGTAAAATAAAAGATTATTTATATGGCCAAGCTCTTAAAATTTTACTAAGTATCTTTAACACTGCTTATAATGAGATCTATTTCTTGTAGTAATGCAATAATTGTTAATAGCTGTTCTGATACTAAGAAAGAAAATCTGGTTTAGCTGCAGTGGAATTTTAGTTATTTGAAACATTAAATTCACCCATCCACATTAAGAATGACACAAAACATTTTAGTTTCTCATAATGACAAACAATACTGTTACACAAGCACTTTTTAAAACACCCTGTATTTTTTTACTATACACAAAGCTATGAAAGTATTCAACTTCTACCGTTATCTCACAGCAAGAAGATAATAGATCTTTCTCTAGAAAGATAGTAAGAGTCTTTCTAAACAGATAGGTAGAAGGTATATGTCATGGTAGACTGTATCAGTTGATATTTTATTTCTGGAACAGATGAAGGCTAAGAATCCAAAGTGCTTATCCAACCTTCTCTAACAACCTTACCTGTGGGAATACTTGAGGCGAGTCATCAGCTAGAATCATCACCCCGCAGTGGTTCAATCTTAATGGAAACCCAGAGCATGAATTGCTGGCTAGAGCTGAGCACGCAGACAAACATTTTCTGTGCTGAGTTTAACAACGCTCACATCCTTAGTAAGCCTGCTTTTTGACAACATTTTTTTTTTTTGGACAATTTTGGCCAAAATTGTCCAAAAAAAAAAAATGTTGTCCAGAATGTTCCAAAAATAAAACATGTACACTTATTCAGCAGCATATTCACACAAAGCTAAAGCTGAAATTCTTTTTTAAAAATAGTGGTAATAAAGGATGATTCTGCGAGTGACATTGAATTAATTAATGGACAGAAAATATCAGATCATCCACCCACACATCAAAAGAACCTGTACTGAAAATAGCACATTGTAACAAGTGACTCATGATGAATTGTACTCCATATTGGACAAGTAAAAACCGTATTTGTCAAATTAATTATTATTGTTAAAGCTATGTTCTCCTCACTCTGTTTTTAAATTTCCCTCATGTCCAGCACAAACACCCCTGCATTTAAAGGAACTGAATTTAGACTCCAGATTTCAAAAGATCAAAATAAAACAAAACAAAATAAGCCTTTGGAAATGTTGGCATTTTAGTATTCATAACCAAAAAGACAAATTCCTGTACTAGATATGCTTCAACAGGTAGATGTGATGACATTTTTCATCAATGTATTAAGTGCTTACAAATCTCTGTTCCCATTTAAAAATAAATTTTTACTGACTTGAATAAGGGAATTAAGAGTAATCCAGCCTAATGTACTAAAAATCCTGTTGCTAATTTTCAAACAGTTTAATAGAAGGAGTGTGCATGGTACCTACATACTACTGCATTATTTATTGTACCATTTGCTTATTTTTCATTGCATTTCATTGGTGACATAGAAGAGACTGCACTCTGTGGAGCTGCAGCTGACATTTGAATGATGCTTTTAAACCATGTAAGATTTCCTATTTTAGAATAAACTTTAAAGCCTGGAAAAAATAAAAATCAAATAAGCTTATGAATTAAATCAATTTTACTGTTAGCTTTTGCCTCATACAAATTTTTCTAAAGACTGTCTCTCAGATAGAAACAAGACTGCTTCATTCATTCATGGGCGATACTTTGGCTCCATGTGCATTTATATAAGTAAGAAGAATTTTGGACCTCCTTTCTATTACATCAATAAGCTTTTCAATTCCTTTTCTGCCTCCTTGGCTCTCCCAGTATATTTTGTCAAGGAACAAAGACTGAAGCAACTTCTCACGTAAACGCTGGCTCCTCAGCACTGAAACTGCAGATTCAGGGAATCTGGAAAAGGACAAAGAAATTCATCAGCTTTGCCATCACTCCGAATTGCAATATTTATGTTGTGGTTTAGCAATCAATTCTATGAATATAGACTGCAACTCAGCAAAGGAAGTCCATGCATGTCTAATCACATGCATTTTAATTGTAACTTTTACAGAATTGGGATTACTCATACGTCTTTAGACACATCCCATAAATGTTTTGGGCTGATGATATCTACTCCAGTAAATTAGTGTCTCCTGCTCACACTGGGAAGAAGTTATCAATCTTTTTACAAAATTAATGACTTAAAACTTACTCATTGATTCCTTGTAGTATTTTGAAGTCAAGATTGTCCTCGTTCCTGTCAAAGAAACCCTTATTGTCTATAAAGGCCAAGTGCCTTCGGTCATGCCTTCTCTGAACTATGTGTGTCAGGTCAACAGCATCCTGATCACTACATTGCAACTTCAGTCCTTGCTGCACACAGGAATCCTCCTTGAGAGGTTTGAATCCACAGCAGTTTCTGTCTAGTCGATTATAGATCTAAAACAAAGTACAGCAGAGTGCCAAGTGAAAACAATATCAAAGTATTTGGGGCAAAGTGTCACTGTAAGACGTCGCTCACTAACACAGCTGACAGGAAAGCAAGCTCAGGACAAGTACAATTAAAGTCAGCAGTGAAATGGCATTGAAGACCTGGTCTCCATACTTCATGTACTGTTAGAAGCAATTTCCCAGACTGTGTAGTTTATCCATTTTATAGCCATGATTTGTTATGTCAGTAGAAATTCTTTGAAAATAATGGAACAATACCACTGTGTAACTGGAATAACAAGTTGGTGAAAACAATTCTATTTTTTCCAGAAGGCTGAAGTTTTTTGTATTTTCTCTGCTGGAGAACAATAGAAATAGCACAGCCTGACACACACAGAGCGTCTCCATTTTGTGGGACCTATTAGACTAATAGTGTGCAAAATAATTGAAAAGATTATTAAGGGGCACAGCAAACCATCACAAGCTACACAATGCATTAACGAAGAGTGCATTTGCAATTGCAGAGCAGCCTCCCTGAGTTGCACTGTGGTATATACTTTAATAACGTGATGGCCTAGGCTATTTTTTTCCCATGCAAACCCTCGCTTATTCATTGCATAGCACTTAGCTGGAAGGAATACATCTGGTCTAACTTTAGTGGTGTAAATGTTAAGCATCTCTTCTGACTTAGTCGTTTATGTTCCCTTTCATAAACAATGACAAGAACAAGGCACCCCCAGAGCAAAGGATGCCATTTTAGGATAACCATCTAATACAGGAAGGATAAATCACTGCTTGAAAGTGCTTCCACTCCTGTAGACCAGATAAGAGTAAACACACAACATTGCCAGGGCCCTGAGTGCACATAGAGGCCTTAATTGCCCTAAGCAACCTCACCTGGGACCTCCACACACACTCCCTCTGCACCATGGGCCCAGGAGCACTATTTAAGCTCAGGCCTGGCACCTCACTCCTCCTCTAAGTATGGGGAATTTGCTCCTTGTCCTGCTACCTGTTGCTCCTGGATTGCTGCTTGGGGGTTCCTGCTCATTGGCCTTAGAGCTGGCTTGCTGCCTTGTCTGTGCCTGGTGCTGACTGGGCTATCAATGGGACCTGTGGCTTTCACCATCCTTCCTGCTGGGCTGGCCCTGCCTGTCCTGCCTGCCATGGGGCTGCCCTTGGCTCCAGCTCATCTCCCCAGGGACCAGCCTGGCTCCTGCTGGGAGGTGTTACAGAGTGGAAGCGTGGCCTGATGCATCTAAGGCTTAAGGAGTAGTTTATCAAAGGTAAATCATTTTTTCTGTCCTTGTTTATTGTATACTGCTAACTCTTCAAACTGCTCTAGGCATAAAAGCATTAATGTTCACATAAGCCTTCTGAAATTACAATTTTGTTTTTGTGACATGCCAGTACAATGAACTGTTAGGCCTCTTCTCCTGATGTAAACTATGTTGCATGTTGAAAAGGCCTCCTAATTTTGTTTGTCAAATGAAAGTCTGAGAGGTTGGGGTTTTTTTTTCCTAAGTATGTATTACTATTGCCACCAGTCTTGGTGGCAGTGTTTGTCTTCAAATGCAAAAATCCTGACAAAAGGAACAGATTTCTTTTCCTCTTCTCCTTTCATGAGCAGCATTCAGCATTCGCTGGCACTAGAGCCCCTCTTCCTTTTGTAGTGTTCTAGCTCATGGCATCTCTCATTCAGCTCATCCAAAGGCTTTGCTGAAAAGCAAAGCAGAGTCCTTCCAGACAGAATCCTTTGATGTATAGCCTTAACTCAGCTGCACCAGACTTCATTACATGCATTAAATAGGTGAGGAGATCGTGGTCTTACAGACAGCCTCTTCATAATATCTTGCATCATTCCAGTATTAAGACAATGACAGGACACTCTGGAATTGATGCTGCAAACATAACAGTTTAGCATTGGGTTTTGTCATATATTTATGTACATGAGCAGTCAACCCCCAAAATTAAGGAAGTCATTTTACATTTAATGTCCTTATTTTATCTGAGTTCTTGCAGAAGGCAAGTGAAGGTCAGCTATAAGCATTTTTCAGCCTGCTCCTATGTTTTATAGTGTTTGAAACTGGAGATTAGGAACATCTGTTATGGGCACTAAACCCATTCTTCTGATGGAAGTATGTTTAATGGAGAACGCTTTTTACCACTATTCTTTATTTCTGAATGACTCATGAAGCATAGATTATCTTTTTAAACTCAGAACCCCTTCTTGGCATTTTTTGTTTGAGAGTCTTCATGTTCTGCTGATGATAAACTTTAAAGTTAAGTCTGAGAGCATCCAGATAAAAATTTTATCTTTAAGAACCATAACACTCAGTTTCACTCACTTTATGGTATGCACATTCTTGGCTGGTATAACTGGAGGCATAAATCACTCTGATACCTGCTACTATTAGAAGAGTAATTTGTTTTTGTCATATAAAGTTCAATCCTGTTGTATCTTATTTTAACTGACTGCTCCTTCTGGAAAATAGGAGTTCTATTATGAAGATTCAAAACTTAAAATTTTAAATTAACACAGAACTTATGAGAATTTTGAAACTGTTCAACAAGACAATGGCATGAAAACATCAACTCTGACACAATATGTACTATTGCTATAGGGGCATTACTATGTTTAGCATCAGAATAATCCACATATGACTTTATACTAGCTTCTAAGAATTACTTTGCTCGTAGTGGGACTAAAGATGGAGTCATTAGACAAGTGACAATCTATTTTTATAGAAGAATTGAATGCTTTGTTTAACATAACAAGACTGCAAAAATGTAACCCCAAAAAAACTGGCAACATCCATTCATCCTAGAACAGAGATAGGCAATGTATAAGCCAAGTCATAATTTTTATATTTCAAGAAGTGTAACTCTATAAAAAGCTGACTTATATGAACAACTAAACACAGTGCATAAAACTAGTCCTTGCTGCAGTTTCAAATAAACCAGTAAGTACTGCAGGAGACGCAGTCACCTGAACCTGTCTGGCAGGTAAGGACAATTGGAAGTAGTGCCATATCTCAGGAAGCCATATAATTAGCTTCCAACCAGGTGATTCAGTTCAGCCCTTATTAATACAGGGAGTATATTAATGTTCTACTACATAATTGCTGTAGCTGTAGCCACACGATACTACTGGGCAGAGCCCTAGTTTGCTGTTATTTGAAAAGCTAATGATTATGTGCAACACGCAATTGAAGAACAGCAGCCATATCATTCATCAGTTCCTGCTTTATTCTTTCCTTACTAAGTCACTGGCTAGGTTTTTAAAAAGCAGGAGAATTATCCACTACAACTGCTATCTTGATCCAGACTTCAGCTGATCAAAACCACTCAAATTACCTCTGGGGGTTGGGGAGGTGTAGAAAGGACCACATAGTTGAGGAGAAAAAAACCCAACAAACACACAAACCACAAACACACTGTTGTGAACATAGTCAATAACTATGTTTGGAGAAACAAGGACTTGAGGAGAAACAGTATGCCTGCCTCAAGGTGAAGTAAAGCATGACAAAAGCCTTTGCTTCCTCTTTTAGAAAATGAGTCAGTTAAGTTCTTAATCTCTTTTCTGATCATAAATTGCATTCTGGATATTTTAAACCTAAGAAACAACCAGAAACAAGTTCAAACTGTGCAAATACATTTCTTCCCCATCTAAAAAAGGAAATAAACTAAAATTACTTTTCTAGGGGTTCTATGTGTGCTCACATGACTTTTGAGGCAGATAGTTGCATTCAGTAAATGTTTTACCTGCAGAAGAAAATCAAAGAGTGCCATCTTGGACCACTCATGATGATGGATTTCAGTACAGCCCCACTCAGCTTTGGGAACTTTACCGTTCTGCCAGCATTTCTGCTTCAATAGCTGCTGATATTGCCCCCAGGTTAATCTCACTGAAGAATGGGTACTATTATCTGTTGGACTCAGTGAGGAATCCCAGAGAATAACAGGACAGGCTTGACCATCTGAAAAAGGAAAAACAGATCATAAGTATAGTGCAATACTGTCAGTCTTGATCATTCTTTAGACATTGCCTAAGCATCAATAATGATGCCATTTTACAGATGTGGCAGGAAAAATGGCCAGGGACTAATAATGACATCCTTTGGTTAATGTGGTCTTACTCCACATCTAAATCAGCCACTGCAGGAATGGAAGAAGCATAGACATTATAAACATCTTTAGTGTATGGAAGGCTTTCTCTGTTTGAAGCAAGAGATTAATGTGCAAAACCATATACTAAACCAGACTATTAAAAAGTTTATAGGTAGATAAAAAGCCTACAATGACACTGAATCAATGACCTAATTTCCCTCTGATTCCATGGAACTGCTGATGATTTTTCAAGGGCTGAAAACTCATGTTAAACTATGTTTTTCTGTATAATGGGCATAAAAGCACTACAAATCCTATACTCAAAGTGGATTTATTTTGTTATCTTTAGTATTTTGGGCCTATAATATATGACTTCACAGCTCTGAAATAATATGAGAATTCTAGATAGTGTGAACTTAGCATGAATAAACACCTTGACAAGTACTTTTTTACCCAGATATAACATGAGATTTGTTTTGCATAGCAGCTCTTTTGGCCAAATTCTTTAGTTCTTCTGCGCAAAGAACATTGTGCTCTTCCCTGAAACTAAGTCAAAGGCCTTAGCTTTGGCGAGTCCAAGTGTTCAGAGTTCTTAATGGAAAGAAACCTCAGTAAACAATTTAAAATGGGCTTTGCCAGTATAAGAACTGATACATATATTTCACCCAATATTAAGTAACAGGCATATCTATCTTCTTAGAAAAGTAGAACTTTCCTTTTCCTTGTTCATGCAATGCTCCTGCTGCCTTAAACTGTCAAGGACCCAGGACTGATTGTGGCTTGTACACACATTAAAACAAAGAAATCCTTTCTATTTTTGGGTGTAGAGAGAAGACCAAAATATAATGTCTTGGTACAGAGAGGAGGAACCATTTAACTGCAAAGCTGCTATTTGCTAAATAGCAAGTGTTGGAACATGTGTAAAGCTTCAAAATTTGTTTATATTGATCTTGAAGGTCAATGAACCTAAAGTCCACATTATTGCACAATTTATTGTGTAGTTAAATCAGCCTAAACTGTTTTTGTCTTCCACGTGCCCATGAAGCCAGAGATATGTCTGAAAAGGAAGATTTCAGAAACTCTCATGAGGACAACAAGATCCATGAGATCCACAGCACCTTCTCCATATGCAAACCAGACAGAGAAGAGCACATAGAAAATGGGTATCAGTGCCAATGGCAAGGTAAAAGCTGCTAATGTGAATGCTCCATCTGTAAGCAGCAGGAACTGTTAAAAACCCATCTCCATACAGCTGAATCAAAAAGCAACTTGTTCAAAGGATGCTGACTGATCTAAAACAACAAGTAAGAAAATAACTTTGCCCATACCCAGCAGTGAATTGTATGTAAAGATCCATCTCGTATTCACCAACAAAGCATGACAAGCCCCACATACAATCAAGCCCAAGAGAAGAACAAACTTCTCTCCAAAACCAGAATGTACTTGATCTTCTCCGCTGTGGCTTGCCCGTATGCTGTGGTCCTTCTCAAGTCAACCCAACATGCAGCTCCACCACCTCTTTAATTCCCCTCCCAGTTGCCCAATGTTTCCTTAGGAACACAGAAGTGCTAGGTTGACAGTTGGACTTGATGATCTTAAAGGTCTTTCCTTCACTAGGATCAGTAATATATTTATTAGCACCATGCTCCACACTCTTTCCTCAGCTGAAAAACAAGCACTGAGCACTCCTGAAAACCAGGCATCTTCTCTGAGAGAATCAATTTGGGAAATCCTAGCTGTTTCCCCATCTCTCTTGCTCTGGCCCAATCACCTACGTTGTAGATGACTTCAGCCAAGTCAGGGCAACTATCAGTTGAGTTTCTTTTCCAAGCCAGTTGGAGAAAGTCTATATAAGCATTGGGAATTGCCATAAAAAAAAAAGGACAGCTTTCTTCAGGACCAAGTTTAATCTATTATTTTCATACCTCCAATAATAGCTTATGTAACTATTCATGAATTCTTCCACAAACCAAATACATAAACAGTCTTCTAACAAAACAAACATCTCCTGTCTACCCAAAAGGAACATGGTAAACAATAGTAATACAAATACTTGAAAAATATGAATAGTATCTTGCCAGTTTCCATTAAGATACAAAAACATTTTTAAAACAGCAAGGCTAAATACAGGAAATGTTCACATTTCAGAGGAAATGGGAACAGAAAAGATGAGCCAAAATAAAATCTTTCAACTCTGTAATATAAATTGAGTTACAGGAATGTGAAACAGCAGCTTCAGTAAAGAGCAGTGACTCAAATTTTTGACGTTTGCAGGAAAAAACATGAAGATGCTGAATTAAAGCAGATAAGGGGTCTGATTCATAGCTGCATGAATTGGCATGACCCCACTGAAATCACTGAAGCTCTTCTGATTCAAACCTCATGAGGATGGGGCTGAAGTTAACTGACTGGTGAAAAGTAAGGCCTGGGTAAGAATCGGAGCTTCCAGTTTAATACAGCCAGAATGGAGGAGGTTGAGCACACTGCAAAACAAGTCCAGTGTGTTTTGCATGCAATTCTTTCCTAATCAGCTTCATATATTAACAGAAAGGGCTACTGCTTTTCTGTTGCTGCAGCTGCATTGCACTGAATCTCACCCAAAGCTGACTTCATTTTATTTTCATGTGCCATTTTAGATCTATATATCTACTTAACTATCTAAAAATTATGTGCAAAATTGTACAGGAAAGATTTTTCAAAACTCGTGTTGGAACCAGCTTCCTAATAATTTATATACATTTTTAAACATCAAAATATTTCTAACCTAAGTTGAATAAACTAATATAGATGAAACCTCAGGCTGCTGAGACTCGACTACCTCAAGGTACTCAAACTGCTTCATGTGCAGTTAGGCAATGTATCACTGCATGGCTTCTTCAACATAGGCATCATCTTAGATATCCACTCCCCACATCACTTTGAAAATAGTCTGTATGCCTCTTAACCATGAAGATGCTCTTGCAAATGTTACTCTTCCATCTTGTGCTCTAACTTGTACCTACAGCATTTTTTCTAACTTCCTCAAAAGAGAATACTTTCAAACATGCTCATGTAAAAAGAGCAAATCTTTCATGAAGTAGTTAAAGCCCTTTCTCAAACTCTTCATTGTTCACTGTAAAGCAGTACACTGCCACATTTGAAAGAAACAGTTTACTTGCCCACATATTAGCAGAAGAGGGTAATTTAGTGTGGAAAGATGAGGGGGGCTGATATACAGAGCACTACTCGAGTTTTAGATTTTATGATTAAGTTTTGAGGGGAAAATATAAGGGACAGATGCAGAAAGCAGGGAGGAGTTAGGCCATCTATTTTTCTTTCTTTCCTCTGTACCTTATTTGCAATGTTTCTGTCCTGTGCTCATACGGATGTCAGAATTAAGGAATGCATGAAATGTGCATTAGTTGTTCTCTAGACTATGGACTGCATTATTGCCTGTCCATGAACTTTTCTACCCAACAGAATATTGGAACTGTGCCCCCTGGTACCCCTCTGAGAGGTACAACACTATGGTGTAAGTTGTTTGGGTTTTTAGATGGAAAACAGGACAAGTAAATTGAAGCCCTTTAGAGCATCTGAATATATACGGCAGCTTTAGGTTTTTCTTATTCTTTGCCCTGACGTTAGTGATTCGTAATATCTTTGCCTGCTTTTGTATAACTTTTGGTGGGATGGCAAGGGCAGGGTATAACATGGAAAAAGCTATGGCTCCATTTATCATCGTGTAGAGGCCAGTAAAGCAAAATGACAAGTACAACCAGTGGAACAATCTATCACATGTCATTCATCTATTCGCACTACACCAACCATGAAAGGTGTTACCCAAAGGAAGAGTTTCTTGCATGTTTCAGGAAAAGAAATAAAGTGGTTCTGGGCAAATAGTGCATTCAATCTTTAGCTAAAATAACCCCAAGTGAATTGAGTACAGCTGTGCTTATTCCTCTCTGTACAGGATAAAACATATTTAGCCAAACTTACGATATCAGAAAACCAGGGGAAAGGAGAGGTGTTTGTCAGCATGCAGTAGTTCAGACCCTCAGCAAGTGGTACGACAACTGCATAGGAATAGCTGCTTATTTTGTACCAAAAGCTGAATAAAGAGCTTAGCCTTGTTGCTACGATCCAAGGAGCCAGAGTCCTATCGCTAGAGCTGTCAGCTGCAGCACAGAAGCAAGCCTGCTCCAGCCCATGTTACTCGGTTGTAGCTCAAGCCCTAACAAACACTGGCATCGTCCTACCCTGCAAATGCTGTTCCTGAGCTAGAGGCAATACATGCAGTCATTTTACTCGGCTTCTGTGCAAATTATTTAAGGTAGGGCTCTGACACTAAGCAAGGTCACTTATGTCTCTTCTGTTCCTCGAGTTAGGGTGATCAAACAATCAAAATTCTCAGTCCTGTGGTATTAATGTGAGCATCCCAAAACTCATACACACAGTGGTGACCCTCCATTTTCTCCGCAGTAGACACAGCTTTATGATTGTTTCATGTTCTTTTGCAGACATATCCTTTGTTTATAGGTGTGTTCGAGCTCTCGACATTTTTCACACCTTGTAGGTAGCAATGGGAGTAATGAATGACTGCTTGCGTATGCCCAGAATCATGATCTTTTAGAATGTAATACCGCATTCAAAAGGGTTTTGCCCACCTATACTCCCCAGGCTTTTTACATTTGGCTAATTCATTGCAAAAATATGAGAGAAAGGGTTAACACACCTGATACTTCCATCCATGATGCAAAAGTAGGATAAACCATTAAAAAAAAATCAGTTAAGTCTTAAAAGGGTTTACAATTAACTCAGGAAGGCAAGGGCAGCAGACAGAGGACTTGCATAGAGTATTTTGCTAGACTTTAAAAAAAAAAAATCAGTGGGGGATTTGTGGGAATAGGGGAAATGATGGAACCTGGATAGGGATTTACTAAGCGGTTCTTTGAAACTGCTTTTGACAAAATGAATGACAGTTTTGAAAAGCCCATTTTTTAAGATTTTAATGCTACATCAAACATGTCTTGTTAGATCACATCACAACTGAGGGAAGCTAAAGGGATGGGTCATGGAGAGAGATATGTCAGCCCAGAAATTGTGTACATTCAGACACACATGCATACTCTCTAATCCTGCATTGCTTGCTTTCCCATAAAAATAACCAGGACTTACACAAGCCACCCTGTAAAAAACTTTGCAGTGCATTTTAAATGCATACGGGTTGTAGAAATGAGCTCACTAATTTTTCATATTATTTTAAAGAATATATTTTTGCTCATTTTCTCAACACGTTTTCCAGATTATGCCAAACACAAGCACGTAAATAGTAATGATCTCAAGTAGATATTAGACATCTGAGCTCCAGCATATTTCCAGGCTAAAGAAATGGAGAGAGACAAGGTACGGTAACTGTTCCAAATGCTCTGTTCACCCTTTAGCTGGAAAAAATGAAGTGAGACCAAAATAATGTTATTTCTCTTCTCATCACCTAGCAACACTCTTCTTGCTATAGGAACATAGCCAGTTATGAGGAAAAGAAAATTAAAGAGGGCAGAATGACACACTCTGTTCCAGACAGTCCAAAACATACTGTAAGGTGACAGACAGTGAGCAACACAATGCACAATTAGCCTAATAGCAGTTTTCAGAGGCTTGCAGTCTGTCATCTCCACAGCCACACTGTGCAGAGTTCCTCCAACCGGACTACCTTAATGCCTTATGACAACTCTATAGCAATAAATCTTGCTCCTAAAAATAAACTAGGCATAATGTATCTTCCATGCTCTGCAAGTATGAATAATATTCAGAAGCCTCCAGACTGTTGTTCCTAGAGATTCATTCACATTGTTGTACAGGCTGCCAAAGGGAAGGGTTACAAAGCAGGAAGAAAGTGAAGATCACTGGGTTGTCTTCCTGCTGTCAGACTTTAGAAAGCATTCTTGCATCGGTGTTTTGGTTTTTTGTGGGTTTGGTTGGTTTTTTTTTTTTCTAAGAAATGCAGACTGGTATAAAAGTATTTGGTATAAGCTAATTTCAGCAGCAAAAAATGAACAGCAAAAACATAGCTAGCCACTTTAGCAATGATTCCTTAAATGCAACATAGTCCTTTCGGATTGTGATTTGTGACTGTACAAAAATAGCAGTTAGGCTGAAGACATTTAACAAGATAGCAATGTTAGAAGTAGACTTCTAAGTCATGTTACATGTCTGAAATCTACCTTTAATTTCACTAAAGGTTAAAAATGACATTTTTAATTGAAAACTTCATACCAATCATGCAACATGCATATTGAGATATTTAATATGCATATTTTTGTCTGCATAATATATAGAAGTGTGACGTGAACCTCAAAATGTACAGCAGGATTCACTGAAATGTAGTTGTGGGGTATTTTAATTACCAGGGGAGAGGGAAGCACTTTTTAAAAATTTTTCACTTCCCCAGGGGTATTAGTGCCATGAAAGTAGCATCATGCTTCTGCAGGAAGGTCCCCTACCTCTCTAAGTAGGTTATCTGACTAAATACAAAAGCCCTTTCCTACCACCTGTTTGAGATATGAATTCTCGTACACTTTCAACAATATTTTATTAAAGTCAATTCTAAAAGATGAGAAAACTTTTTAAAAAATCAGAAATACCCATCGAATCACAGGGTATTCTGGAATTTCTTTTACCAGTTTCATTTCAGTCAGTTTGCACAACATCATGCGATCTATGGATGACTCCCTCTCTTTTTTCTCATTCCAGGCTGTCATGGAGGGGAAGTTGTTACTGCCCTCAGCAGCTCAGTGGTATTGGATCTAAACTTTGGGGTACTGGTCCTCTGGACAGGATAATTACACTACAGAAGTTACATGCAGATATCAGCTTTGTTTCCCTGTAACAATAGTGTTAGTTCTCAGGCTCGCAGGAGTTAAAGGTGGCGGCTGCTGCCCCATGGTTAACACAGGAGGGGTAAGGAAACTTCAGCATCCCACCTGCAAGCTGAAAACCATAGGAATGTGTTACCTTGGAAGAACTCTGATCTCCTGCTTACAGAAGGTAAGCTCCTGTTTAGCCCCAAGATCCTGTCCAAATGAAAGGCAAACACCTCACTCATGTCGAGGGGTCTTTTGACGACGCCACAGTACCCCTGATTACAAGAAGTTCCTGTCGTGCTGGGACCTCTTGCAAATACTACCAGGACTGCTTTGTGAGAAGGCACTTCTTGGATGCTCTCTATCTGAGAATCTGCCAGCATGCGCATGTTTAGGATGTCGTCTTTGCTCAGCCAAGAGGGAGAGCTCTCGCTGTAAATCCTGATATTGCTTTCCTCAGGCTGGGGCTGTGCCTTTATAGCTCCAGAAATCCCCCTTGGTCTCTGGTGACCAGGCTCCCTGATTACCATTCCTCTATGCCTGTGTCCATCCAGCTGGTGTCTTCTGGCCTCCAGAGCTACTGCTGCTCCCATTGTGCCTGCAGCATGTGTGGCCCTCCCTGGCTGTTGGGCAAAGGCATCTTCTCGGCCCACAAAAGCAGCTTTTGGAAAGTGCTGCCCGTAGGACAAAGGAGTTGCATGTTTCTTCCTGCGCTTTGGCTTCACCGTGCCTCGGATATTGGCAGGCTTGCTGCGCTTAGACCGCAGGGTGATGTAAACTACATTGGGTGGCAGTAAGGTCCCATTGCTGCCAACCTGGGGTTCCTGGAAATTGGGTGGTGACAGGGTGCCATCCAGTGGGATGCCCAGAAAAGGAGTTTGGGCTGCATCTTGGAGACTTCTGGAACTGATCTTTCGGTGTCCTCCTTTGTGCTGGGGTAAAACGTGACCCACTTGACTGACGAGGAATCCCAGGTAGATCACACATGCAGTGCCCGCCAGCAGATTCCTCCTTGTCCTTGGGCGCCTGCAAGTCCAGAGCCTCAGCACCCGTGAGGGGCACAGGCAGCAAATAAACAAGTTTTTGATTTTACTTGGTTGATCAAAGGTGGTCATTTCTCTAGTGAATCCACATGATGAAAACAGCATGAAGTCTTCTGTACGTTCCAGCCAGGATGATGATGCATGATTTCCCTTCCCTGATTTCTATTTCTCTTTTTCCAAATAGCTTCCAGCATGAGTGTTGGACAGAGGCTACTGATATGCCTGGGAACGCGTTTAGTACTAAGGATGCTGACACTCCACCTTCTCAAGCTGTTAAATTCTTATCAGCCACCACAGGGGAAGTGATTGGCTTCAGAGAATGAATGGAGCCAGCTACGTAAGCAAAGTTTACTGACTTGTAGTCTAAAAGATCTGAAGTATCTCCTTTGCAAACTGCAAAAAGAAAATAGTAGTATTTCATTCCACTACTTGCATATGGCATCTGTGGTTCTATATTTTTTAAAAGATAGAAGTTCTAGATGAGACAGTGTACATCTAGAAATTTGTCAGGATACATCTTTCACTTTCTCATTACAGTATAAATTAAACACCAAAATCATTAAATACAGGCTCAATTTGCAATCTTAGCTAGCTGTATTTCAGCATTAGAAGAAAAGCTTGTAAAACCCAGATCATCATCATCTTTTTCTTATGAGGCAAAGTCTTCACTAAACCTTGTGTTATGGAAATGCTGTAAATTACACAATATTAACCACCAGTAACTGTAGTAGTTAAATATGCACATATTCACTAATATAAAAATATATTAGCAGTGCTAAATTTCCCTAGTTGAATATGAATATAGTTCACATAAATCATAAACATTTAAGATGAAAGACTGTTAATTCCCTTCCCTCTTGTGAAGCCATAAATAGGAAATAGCTATAGTTTATCAAATAAAATGACAGTAGCTTAGATATACTTTCAAAGAAACAAAGATAGAATAAGATCACATTGTACATATATTGCTATAAAAATATAAAATCTCTTACCTATTCAGCTTGACACATACTTTGTTCTGGTAAACTCCTTAGGTTAATAAAAGTAACTTAGTAAAAGCTGACGTTCTCAAAGTATTCTAGCACATATTTCAGTTTTAAGTATGGCTCACATTTAGGTATTTCATTGCAAGCTAAATACTGTTTGGAAGCTAACTGAACTGAGAGGTGGCTTGCATATGAACTGCTATAAACTTAAATGAACCTCACGTTATTAAAAAAAAAAAAAAAAAAAAAAAGAAAAACCAAAAGCCAACAAACACACACACACCCTCAGCAACTTCTATTTTAAATTCTGTAATGAAAAGTCCTGTGAAGTATGTGCCTTCCAAAAGCGCATTCCACCCATTTCTAACTCCTGAGGGCCCTCTAGTGCACCGCATGCAAATGCACTGCAGAAATGCCCGTTTTCCACATTTGGGGCTTTTTAAAATTTAAAATAGCCCCCCTGCCTCCTGAATTTTAGACCTTTTGGGAATTGTATGTTCTTGTGATGAAGAAATAAAAACCAGTGGCTTTTAAAATGCTGTTAACATGGTGTTAGACAGCTCAGGAGCGTTTCCTATTTGTGCTTTCCAAAACGAGGCATAGCATAGTCGCTGTACAGATGGAAAAGTTGAGGCAGAGAGAAGTTAAGGGCTCGTGCAGAGCTAAGCAGTGAGACACTGGCAAAGCTCTGACTCCTTGCTTAGTCTAAGTACAAAGTAATAAAATGCATAAGTTCACTGTAATTGAAGTTAATGGAGATATTCTCTGTAATTAATACGAAGGGGAATAGACAGTTAAGGAATTGGTTTGTATTTTAGATGGGACCAATCTGAATTTATAAAACTTTGCGAGTGGATTTTTTCACTGGAGGTCACTTTTCTTTACTTTTTGTCTAAATGTGTACTATCGAGTTAAGATTGCAGTACTTGTGCCTGTTACCAGGAAAAGAGCCTTCATATCACCTGTTTTTCCACAGATGAGTTCCTGGAGGAATAGGGATTGTAAGAAAACTCTCTGGCCACTTCTGTTCTTTTCTCTCTTTTTTTTTAAGTTCAAATTTGACCGAAGGGACACATTCCAGGTAAAGAAGATTAATTCAAAAAGCTACAGACAAGTGTAGCAATAAATTCAGTAAAGATGTGGATAGTGCTGTTTAACATTTTTTATACTTTAAAGAAGTCGCCAGAGATGGACATTATTAGATCAGCCTTAGATGCTTGAGGGTCCCTCTGATGAAGGTCATTAGCAAGAGGTACCAGCTTTGCAGCCCATTTGACTAACAGACACTGTACATGGCTCACTGTGACAATGGCCTCCTATATCCTTTTTAATATCAATGCAAAGTGAGTGCAAAATATCAGCAAAGTTATATGGCTAAAACTGAGGTAAATAAGGGTAACTGGGTATTGCAGCCTGAGAGCAGAATATCACCCACAGGGCATATTTACACATATACATGAAATTTTTTTTAAATGCTTAAGATAAGCTCCCCCCTTTAACGGGGGAAATAATGGGGGGGGAAAATGTACATGTCCTGAATTCTGTTTTGACTTACTGCTGATTATGACAGCAAATAATTCAGCATGAAGCTTTTACTCCACTATATTTCTTTCAAGTTTATGAATTATTTTGGGGGATTTTACTTTATACTGCTAATGGCAAAATAGTTGTTGCTTGAGTTAGAAACACATCACACCACAACAGTGGTTTTCAAATGCCCAGTCCTTGCATGTAGACAGCACCAAGACCTGTCCATTACAATCAAGCAGTGGTAAAGCACAGTCTGCAGGTCCAGTTACTAACAGCTTTCCTTTGCTACGCCATTTCTCTTAAATCGAAATTTTGGAACCTATATAATTTTCCTACTGCAACTCTTTAAAGATTATCTGGAGGAAATTATAGAAGGATATGGAGAATTGTTCTTCACTCCTCATTTCATTTGTAGCCTTGAAATAAAAATGTGGTGTACCCATTGATGTACAGTGTTGCCTGCTGAGGGTTTTTTTTGAGGCTTTCTAAATGTGATGAGAGCAATAATATTTCCTTTATTGTTCATGTTCAGAAGGGAGAACTCGTTCTTTAAATGTTGCCCCACTACATTCTTCGGAGTGGATGGTAGTAGGAATTCAACTAAATAGGATTCAATATCTTGTTAATTTAGCAGGTATTTGCCTCTAAGTTTGGATCTTTAAAAGATAACATATCAAGAGACATTCTTTTTTTCAGCTCTTGTGGTGTACAGCTCCAACACCCTACTAGAATTCACAAAATAACTGATGCTGGAATGGCTATGGACTTGTCTGGAAAACAAATGTTTCTTTATGTTTCAGGAAAGGCAAAGAAAATGTTTGTTGTTCAGGTGGGTAGCATTCTTCTTTCTGGTATTACTAACCCAAAGCTGCAGCAGGGCACTAAAGGGCATTACTGAGCTGAAAGGGTACTTCCTCTGTTGTCATAACATATTCAAGACCAATTTTTTGAAAGAGTAAACTGAACAATGCTAGTTGTCTAACCAATTTTTGGCCTAGATTATTGTACTTTGCGTACCTATATGTAGCCTGTAATGTCAGTTAGATTCCATGTTTATTCCTTGCTCTAAACTATACCTGTGATATTGCCATCTGCATCCATTAAACTCCACTTCTCACCTAATTTCTTTACATACCAGTATTTCATGGCCAGTGTTATCCCTTCCCTAAGTTTAGGAACACAGGAATATCAAAGCTAGTGTTTGAGAATAGCAATGAACAGAAGAGGGGAATTTAAGAAGTATTTCCTAATCCTTGATATCCCTAGGTATAGTCTGAAACAATAAACAAATAGCTGAATTGCAGAGTTGCAATGATTTCCTTCTTTTCATTGTTTAATTTCTGAAATTCATCTCCACCTGCACCTGCATTTGTAGAAGAAACCAACTTATATTTGTGGGAAGGACCGTCACCCAGGGTGCTGCTGGTGGTTCTGGACAAGCTACAGACTCTGAAGCAGCTGGTGGCCAGCAGTGCCACCAGCCATCCTAGTAGACAGTCTCTGGCCGAGCTGCAGGAGACGGGTGGACTGAACCAATGACCACCACTCACAAGCTCCTGCATCCTGACTCACGTGCTGGCAACCTGAAAGAGCACCATCCAGCTACTTAAACACTCTGCTCCATTTTCAAATCTCTTGAAGATGGGAAGACAACAGTAACCTGTTTTTTAGGAAATAACAAACATTCACTAATTCACCAGAATGTTCTCAATCTCGTCTACAGGTTTACACATAAATCATCCTCCCCTATGCAATCTCCTATAGCCTTTTGCATCCTTCTTAATCCTACCAAGTACAGCTTCTTCCTTCTCATCTGAATTATTAATACTCCTTATTTAGAATTTCTTTCATAGGCGATCTTCCCTCTTTAATCTAGACTAAGCACAGCCTCTTAGGATAGTGAATATTACACCTGGAGAACTAAAGAAAAAAAAAAAAAAAAAAAAAAAAAAAACCAAAACAAAACCACCAAACATCTGTAACAACACAGGGATACAATATTATTATTAATACAAAAAGCTACCCAGCAGCTAGTATGTTTCTCTCCAAAACACCGGATTGGGTGTCAATTTTTACAAGTATCAGTTTTGTCTTTTAAAGCCACACATCTCCTATTTCTTCATCTGACTCTTCCTTTTTGCTCAGTCATTTCAGTTTTAAGATATGGGATTTAAAGTTGCTTATTTTGTTAGTTTTCCAAGATGTCTTGGTTTGACTCTTCCCACTGTAGTTTTGGCTGCAGAATTTGCTGTGATTCAGCAAAGAACAAAATACTGTCTGTGCTGGTTTGCAGAATATTTTGCAACAAGACGGTCTTTAAGTGGACACTTGTTACACTCATAGAAGGCTCTGAAATTTGAAATATGAATGTTGCCATTTTCCATTTTAGTAAACATTGTGCATTCATGGACTTCCTTTCCCACACACTTTTCAACTCCAGCAACCTATGATTTCAATGAAACCAAACAGTACAAATAAATGAATTGGAATCTGTCCATATTTGAGGTGTTTTTTTCGTACTAGCAGTGTCATTTTAACTGTTGTGTTAATGAGAAAAACAATGCTCCAAAACCAGCCTGGTTTGAAGAA